GTGAACGAAAGCTAGTCTCAAAAACATCTCATAATCAATTTTAGAACACGACCAAGGCCCCTCTGTGAATTATATGTACACGATCAAGATCAATGTCAGGTCACGACCCTCCGGGTATGATAAAACACAGCCAATACCCCTCTGTGAACTAGAAAAAGTATATAATAATGGATACTTTTTTGGTCTATCTCAATATCACATGTCTCACATTCCAAATTACAAATATTTCATATCTAATCTTTGAAATCCACAAATATCAGAATGAAAGAATATTTCCAAAATAATCATGCAATCGAACATATAAATATACATAATGTATTGGTATAATTAATTTATCAATACTTGAAAATATTTAAGATTTTTCCATTCACAGAACTATATACGCCAAAATCAATTCGATTGATACGCTAACCCGATATCCGTATCACCGCCTGAAATATAATATAATTTTTAAATCAACAATTAACTAGTTTAAGTAATTTCAATAATTAAATAGGCAATACCCAAACTTAATTATTTCACGTTTAGGCGATTTCTAAAGTCTCTTTAATTACTAAAACTAATTTTTCTTTCATTTTACTCAATTTCATAGTTTGTTATACTCAACCCCTTCAATAAAATTGAATTTAATCTAACAATCTAATAACTATAAAATTAAACATAACTTAACAATAAGTAACTTTTTACTTACCTTTCCAAATTGAGGAATTTAAGTCTAATAGTATCGAGCACTTAATTCCTTACACGTTGCCGAATTTTTTCTATTTTTTTCTTTCTTCTCTCTTCTCTTTCTCTTTTTCTCTCTCTCTCTCTCTCTCTCTCTGTTTCTGTTTCTCTCTGCGTGTTTGTATATGTTATCAAATGGATTTTGATAGATTTATAATGAATTGGTTTGAGTTCCACTGCCTGTCATTTTTATTTTTATTTTTTTGTCTTTTGTCTTTTTTTTGTCTTTTTTTACTTTTCTTTCCAAACTTAAGATATTACAAAACTCGCCCCCTTAAAAGAATTTCGTCCTCGAAATTTAATTGACTAGGTGCAAAAAATATGGGGATACTGAGAACACATCTGCCTTCACTTTTTCATGTCGCTTTTTCTATAGTATGATTCTTCCATAAGACTTTAATTAAAGGAATAGTCTTACTACACAAGACCTATTCCTTTCTGTCCAATATCTGAACTGGTTCCTCTTCATAAGTAAGATTTTCCTTCAACTCTACTGGTTGTAATTCCAAAACATGAGATGGATCTGAAATATACTTACGAAGCATGGAAACATGGAATACATCATAAATTCTGGACAATTTTATTGGCAAAGCCAATCGATACGCAACAGGACCGATGCGTTCAACAATCTCGTATGGGTCAATGTATCTTGGACTCAATTTACCTCATTTACCAAATCTAATAACACCTTTCCAGGGCAACAATCGCAGGAAAACTCCATCCCCAACATCAAATTCAAGGTTTCTTCTGATAGTTCTTCTGTCTATCTTGGGCTGTCTTTAACTTTTCTTTAATTATCTTTACTTTCTCAGCAGTAATCTGGACATATTCAGGACCCAATAACTTTCTTTCGCCAACTTCATCCCAACATGCTGGAGTTCTGCATTTCCTACCATACATTGCTTCAAAATGAGTCATTTCTATACTCGAATGATAACTGTTATTATAAGCCAACTCTATCAAAGGAAGATAAGTATCACAATTCCCTTTGAACCGTAGTACACAAGCTCGTAACATGTCTTCCAAAATCTGAATAGTTCTTTCTGACTGACCGTCTATTTGTGGATGAAAAGTTGTACTGAAATGAAGTTTAGTACCCATAGCTTTCTGTAAACTAGGCCAAAATTTAGAAGTGAAACGAGAATCTCTATCTGAAACAATAGATATTGGTGTCCCATACAAACTGATTATCTCATCAACATATATTTTTGCCAATTTATCTAATGAGTCAGTGACTTTAATAGGAAAAAATCTAGCAATCTTCGTTAACCTGTCTACAATGATCTATATGCTATCATGTCCACTCTAAGTCTGTGGAAGTCCAAATAGAAAATCCATAGTAATGTGTTCCCATTTTCACTCAGGAATAGGCAACATTTGTAACAATCCTGTTATTTTCTGATGATCTGGTTTCACTTGCTGGCAAATGAGACATTTGGATACAAACTCAGCTATTTCTCTCTTCATTCCATGCCATCAATAGTGTTCTTTGAGTACACGGTACATTTTTGTACTACCTAGATGCATCGCGTAAGCTGAACTATGTGTCTCTTCTAGAATTTCTCCCTTCAATTTTGAATCATCTGAAACACATAATCTGTTTCCCATAACTAAAGCTCCGTCATCTCGAATGGTGTAATCTGTATGCTTACCTTCTTTCAATTTTCTCAACACTAGATCTTGAGTTTGAGTTTCTCTAACTATATCAATCAAAGTAGGCCTCACTTGGAAGTTAGCAAACAATGCTCCTACGCTGGTAACTGATAATTGGGCATGAGAAGCTCTGAACTCACCAAACAAAGATGAATATACTACATTAGTCTAGGTTATAGGACTCAATATTTTCCGACTGAGAGCATCAACAACTACATTAGCCTTCCCTGGATGATAATCAATCTTGCAGTCGTAATCTTTTATCAGCTCTAACCATCTTCTTTGCCTTAAGTTTAACTCTTTATGGTCAAAAATATACTTTAAGCTTTTATGATCTATATATATTTGACATCTCTTGCCATACAAGCAATGTCTCCAAATTTTCAAGGTTAGGATAGCTACAACTAGCTATAAGTCATATGTAGGATAACTCAGTTCATGTTTCTTCAATTGCCTAGAAGCATACGCTATAAGTTTCCCATTCTGCATCAAAACACAACCAAGACCCTGACGTGAAGCATCACTATATATTACAAACTCTTCATTGGGAGATGGAAGGGTAAGAACTGGAGCGACACTAATCGATTCTTTAATTCGAGGAAACTTCTTTCACAATCTTCATTTCAGACAAATTTAGCATTTTTTTCTAGTCAAAATGGTCAAAGGAAGAGCAATTTTAGAAAATTCCTCTACAAAACGACGATAATAACCTGCTAAGCCAAGAAAACTTCGTATTTCTGTCACATTAGTAGGTCTTTCCCATTTTACCACTGCCTCTGTTTTTTGTGAGTCAACATAAATTCCTCTGCTGATATGACATGTTCCAAAAATACAACTTTATCAAGCTAAAATTCATATTTACTGAATTTAGCATACAACTGCTCATCATGTAGAGTCTGCAAGATGATTATAAGATGCTCTGTGTGCTCATCATGATTATGAGAGCATACTAAAATATCATCGATGAATACAATCACAAATCTATCTAAATACAGGCGAAACACTCTATTCATTATATCCATAAATGTTGCTGGTGCGTTGGTCAACCTAAATGGCATCATAAAAATTTTAAAATGACCATATCTTGTCCTGAAAACAGTTTTTGGCACATCACTGTCCCTAATTTTAAATTAATGATATCTAAAATGCAAATCAATCTTTGAAAATACTGCAGCACCGCAAAGCTGATCAAACAGATCATCAATACGTGGCAAAGGATATTTATTGCGAATTGTCACTTTATTCAATTGTCTGTAATCTATGCACAGTCGCATAGTGCCATCTTTCTTCTTCACAAACAAAACTGGTGCTCTCCACGCAGATACACTAGGTCTGATAAAACTCTTGTCTACCAACTCTTGCAACCGAACCTTTAGCTCTTTCAATTCTGCTGATGCCATTCTATATGGTGCCCGTGAGATAGGTGCAGTTTCTGGAATCAGATCTATAGTGAACTTTATATCTCTATCTGATGGTAAGCCTAGTAATTCTTCTGGAAATACATCAAGAAAGTCTTTGACCACTGGGATGTCTTCAAATTTTAGTTTGCTAACATCTATATCAATCACATGAGCTAAATATGCATGGCATCCCTTGTTGAGTAATCTTCTAGCGTCAATAGCAGATATCACACAAGACGGTAAAATTCTGTGTTGTCCATTGAATATAATTTCAGGTTATCCTGGCTGTCTAAACACAACCTCCTTTCGAAAGCAATCAACTGAAGCTCGATTTGTTGTCAAAAAGTCCATACCCAAGATAACATCGAAATCATGTATGTCAAGAGGTATTAAATTTGTTAAATTTACCTTCAGCTCGTTCTCCTTTATTTTAATCCCACAATCTCGATATATATTGTTTGCTAATAGTGATTCTCCTACTGGTATATTCACTACCAAACAAATACCTAGAGGTTCTGACCTTTGAATCGCATATAAAGCAAATGAAAATGACATAAAAGAATGTGTAGATCTAGGATCAATCAAAATACGAGCATTTCTATCAAAAATAGACAACATACCCATGATAACATATGGTGACTCCTCTGCCACCTACTGAGTCATAGCAAAAATTTTACCCAGGGTCTTCGGTCATCCTGCATACCGTTTTGATTTTGTACCACTACCGCTTGCAATATTAGACTGGGCCACATTGTTTGTACCTACTTTATTAGCTGAATCATCTCTCTGAGTCTGATTCTGTCTTGTACTACCAGCACTCTACTGAGGAAACATCCTCTGTGCCATGCAACCCTTGCAGAATACAACTGGGCAGTTCCTTTTCAGGTATCCTTCTTGGCCACAGCGATAGCAAACACTAACTCCTTTAAACTTTAAGCACTCTCCAGGATGAGATCTTCCACATAACTAGCAAGAAGAAAATCTGGCACTAGTATAACTCTCTCCTGTCTCGGAGTAAATGATCTCTGGGAAGAACCCTGAGTATAATTACGACTGACCAATGGCTGCTGTACAGTACTGGGACTGAGTCTAGGACCCTGACTTCCTCGAAATCGAGATTTGAATTGACCTGAACTGGATACACCAGGTTGAAATCCTCTATTGTCTCTCTATGGTGGTCTATAGCTAGAAGTACTTGTCATTGTCTGACTACTGCTTGCTCTAAATAGTTGTTTGTTCTCTATCATCAGGCCTATCAGAAATGCTCTTTTCTACTCTTAAAGCTGATTCCACCAATTTGCCAAATATATTCCGGCCTGCAGTTGTTACTACTAACCGAATTTCTTCCCTTAACCCATTTTCAAATCGTCTGCATTTATCAATTTCGTTACCAAAACTTGGGCATACTTTGAAAGTTCAATAAATTTTACCTGATATTCTGCAACTGTCATCTACCCTTGTACTAGATTCAAAAATTTCTCCTGCCTTGCATCTTTATAGGACCTAGGGTAATAGGCATAATAAAATATACGACTAAAATCTGTCCAAGTAATGATGGAAGGGTCTAGATATGTACTTCGTACCGACTGCCACCAATTATATGCACCCTCCTCTAATGAGAAAGTGATAAGACACAACTTCCGATCGTCTGAGCAATCTATAATATCAAATACTCTCTCTATCTTGGTCATCCATACCTGCACAACTGCAAGATCGGTTGTGCCAGTGAAAACTTTAGCCCCTAACTTTGTAGCCCTCTCAATACTAAAATCTCTGTCATATTACGCATAGCAGATGCAATAGCAATAGCAATTCTTTCAACAGCCATAGGATTAGTTCCAATCACATTTCCCTATCACTGTTGTTCAAAATGTCTCACATTCCAAATTACAAATATTTTCATATCTAATCTTTGAAATCCACAAATATCAAAATGAAAGAATATTTCCAAAATAATCATGCAATCGAACATATAAATATACATAATGTATTGGTATAATTAATTTATCAATACATGAAAATATTTAAGATTTTTCTACTCACAGAATTATGTACGCCAAAATCAACTCGATTGGTACGCTGATCCGATATCCGTATCGCCGCCTGAAGTATAATATAATTTTTAAATCAACAATTAACTATTTTAACTAATTTCAATAATTAAATATGCGATACCCAAACTTAATTATTTAACGTTTAGGCGATTTCTAAAGTCTCTTTAATTACTAAAACTAATTTTTCTTTCATTCTACTCAATTTTATAGTTTATTATACTTAACCCCTTCAATAAAATTGAATTTAATCTAATAATCTAAAAACTATAAAATTAAACATAACTTAACAATAAGTGACTTTTTACTTACCTTTCCAAATTGAGGAATTCAAGTATAATAGTATAGAGCATTTAATTCCTAACACGTTAGCGAATTTTTTCTATTTTTTTCTATCTTCTCTCTTCTCTTTCTCTATTTCTCTTTCTTTCTCCCCGTTTCTATTTCTCTCTGCGTGTTTGTAAATGTTATCAAATGGTTTTGGATAGATTTATAATGAATTGGTTTGAGTTCCACCACCTGCCATTTTTTTTTGTCTTTTTTTTTTTTTAGGTTTGACTTTTCTTTCCAAACTTAAGATATTACACGAACGAACATAATAATCAAAGTGTTGAATAACTTTACCGAACTCTTATCAAGTAATAAAATTATTGAAAAATCACAAAGAGTTCATGAGTCATGCAACTAAAACTAATTTTTACTTATTCATGCTCGATCGATGTATGTGTGCATAGATTCTTCAGTTTGATTATATCTCGACTCTCAATAGTCAAATATTTCATTTCATCTCTCATGGGATATACGCCTCCAATTTATTTTTAAATCACATTTGTATTGTGTTCATTCTAAGGTTGACTGCACAAATACTATTTTCTTTCTTGCTCTTGTTTGGTTTGAATTTCACCAATAAAAGTCACTACCTCAATTAGTGATGATTATCCTTAAATTTGATGATCTCAACTGCTAAGTTTCTCCTATAATAATAACATTTAGTAATCTAAATGTACAATTAAATATCCAAGACTTAAGTGCTTATGATAATTTCACCACTAATTTAACAAACTTTGGTGTGTGCTTTCTTCCTTTTCTTCTTTTCAATTATCCATTCTTTTATTTTTGAGATATTTCATGTTGATATTTCATCAAGATGATCGAATCATGTATACAACACGATCTTTGTATCATCTTAGCACATCTTGAAATTGTTTGAGATGATTGCTCGTGTGATTGAGCCAATATTGAGCTATTTAAAATACTTTATATGTGCGTGTAAATGATAATCTAGTAATTACAACAATAGATGATGCTTAAACTCAAGAATATTTATTTATGAACATATAAAACCCAAACAAGAGTTTTCATATAAACGTATTATATTTTATGCAATTCTAAAAATTCAATATAATTGATAATTATATCATTAGATATTTTCAGAGTATGATGATAACCTATCATCATGTTCCTAGATATATCGTGAAGTACTTTCTTTGAGAATGTCTCTTACATAAATACTATCGAGAGTTTCCTTCGACCATGGTACTTGAGTTACTCAACATATGTAATAGTTACATAATTACATGGATCTCATATTCTCGACAAGTATCATTAGATGCTTAACACACATATATATCAAACAATTTATTATGCTGTCAAGATATACACTAAAAGATGTGTTTCTTGCTACTGTAGAAATGTCACCCCATATGGCAAGAACGCACAAATTTATTAAATATTTGTGCTTAACTAGGTCTCTCTCTCTCTCTTACAATATCTTTATTTCAAACGAGCTTTTCAAACTAGCAAGAGCACACAAATCTAATAGTATAGTTTAATATACTATATACTAAGAGCATCTTCAATGGTGTAAAATTTGGTATAAATTGCATCTCTAAAATCACTTTTACATTCTCATTTATAGGCCATTGAATCTAAATTCAAACTTTATGGCAATGAGAATATGTAATCCAATTTTTTCCTATTGTGAATGTGTAAAAAAAAAATGTCGATGCCATCATTTCTTTTAGATAAATTCAAATTAGGATTCTATTTTGGTGAACACAAATATCATTTCTCTTCACAATCACTGTCACATAGGTGAGTTTACACTTTTTACGGCGTGCATGTGCATGTGCATGCCGTAAAAAGTGAGTTCACACTTTTTACGGCGTGCACATGCACGCCATAAATAGAGTGAGTTTTTACGGCGTGCCCGAAATAGAGTGAGCTTTTACGGTGTGCACAGGCACGCTGTAAAAAGTTATTAACGGTGATCTTTTACGGCGTTCTTTGCATGCCGTAAAAAAATCTTCCTATTTACGGCATTGCTTTATTGCACGTCATAAAAAGTCCATTTTGGTGTAGTGGGAGTTCAATTTTTGGATTAGTAAAATTTTTCTATTATTAAGTTAAAAATTCTTGGATTAGAATGAATTTTTACATGAATGTATAAAAAGAAAGGTGGAAATATGACCATATTTTATCTCAAAAGAGAAAAAAAATACTTTTCAATATATAATAATACTCTTTTTGAAAACAAATAATTATTATGTACTACAATGAGCAATCCAAGTTTTTTAATGCAGAACTGGAAAGAAAAAGATGGTCAAACTACAATACATTCAAATATTTTAACAATAATTTCCGGACCGGCGTTGAAAATCGGATAAAGGGTCGCTGGCAATGCATGTTTGGCACCGACTAATTTTTAGCAACTAAAATTTGTAAACCATGGAAGTTCATATTCATAATGAACTAATCTTTCTATCAAAATAAAAAATAAAAAAGGAGAATTCACTATAAGTACGTCGCATTTTCTTTTTTCTAATTTTCAGATAACATACAAACAGTACATGTTGATTATGTGGGATTAAGAATGATGGTTGTAATAAAAACGCCACTTAAAATTTGTTATAAAACTTCTCAAACAATAAAACCGCCTCTAATAAAAATTTCTAATTTTGTGTAGTCAATTTTATGCCTGCATGTAAACAATAGAAAAACAGGTGGATATTTTTATCTATTTTCATCATAAAATGATTGTTCAATCTTTTTTCATTCTTCAAATTTTTTACTTAGAAAATGGAAACCCTTCATGATATTTCTCGAAAATCGGAATTCTTGATCAATGAAAGAACAATATCAATTTTTTCTCTCTCTCAATAAGATCCCAAAGTGGATGATTGAAGTGCATTTTTTTCTTTTTATATATATAATTAATATTATTGATCAAATTTTACCAGATTTGTAAAAAATTTACCAATTAATTAACCTTTAAACAAATTTTTTTTTTTAATAGGCCGGTGGAAGTTTATTGGCTAGAAATTTGGTGCTCAGATGTAGTGGACTAGCGGCCGGGGGGGACCTTTTGTTTCTCTAAACACTTCCTATAGTTATGGCCTCAATATTAGTTTTTTAACATTTAATTAAGCTTCCCCCATGCTATTGTTTATAGATCCATTCCCCCACACAATACCATTTTTAATTGCAAGGACACAAAATAAATTTTCCAAAGGGATAAATCCTCTAATGTCGATGGCAACAATTAATTTTCTTTTGAATAGACAATCAACAAATTCGGTAACTGAAGATGTAAGGATACACATCTTTAAAATGATACGGCGAAAGAGAGCAAGCCAACAAATAAAAATTTAGGAATCTTTATGCAGACTTTATTCATTCATATAAAATTATAATCAAAGTCAAATAATGTATAATGATGCTATTAATTTAACAAATTTAATAAGACCACAATGGATACCACAGAGTATAGTGGGAATATAACTAGAGAGTAGTACTCTTTGACCAATCTAAAAGATCATTAATTGGTAGTTGAATAATAAACAATATTGCAGAGTCTTAATTAAGAGAGAATCATTTTCTCAAGTCCATGGTTGCTAATAAACACATCAAGTGTTGCCATATTTTATATGTTAATGTTCCCATGCAATATTATTATTATTATTATTATTATTATTATTATTATTATTATTATTATTATTATTATTATTATTATTATTATTACTATTATTATTATTATATATTGCTAGGTTGGATGTCTACGTCCATGGAAAATATGGATTGCAGAATTATTTCTTTAAAAGATTCCCTTGACCAAAATTATGGTAACGTCAACTCTGCATGCAGAAATGAAGACAAGAAACTAAAATTTTATAATCATTTATTGCAAAAAAAAACGCTTTTTTTTTAAGCAGGCACAGTTTATGTGTCAGACTTCTCTTAAATTAAAATGTAATATTCTTTGAATGTCTGCCTAAATATGTGTGTGTTTTGTGTGTGAACATATATACATACATATAACCATCCTCTTGCAGCCAGTTGTGGGTGTCTTTTAGTGGAAACCTAACTCTTAGCTCCAAAGATAGAATTTGTAACAAGAAGACATTTCTGTGGTCAATATTCCTTTTGGACAAAGAGCCACATATTATGAAGTGTTAATAGTTCATAGAAAAAATGACTTGAGAGTACAGAAAGTCCCAATGCAGCGTAAATGTTAGGGGTAGAGTTTCACGTGCTCAAATTATTATGAAAAAAATAATTTTTGGGTTTCTTCTCTTAATAAGATTAATAGATGAAAATTAAATCTTTAGACTTAATATGATGTCGAAGCTGAAAACTACTCATAAGAACTTTGATCATCTAAAGCACAAAGGGGTCATCAATATTGTCGTTTTCAAATGAGGTTTCATCTTGCGAGAGAGTTAAGCAGTAAAATTCACAACGCTGAATATGAAAACGATGATTAATATATTTTAGAATATGAATCTTAACAAGTTAACCTTTTAATAGATATTTTATTAAGTCGAAAAGCTTAAATTAGCAATTTTATCAATTTAAAACTCCAAAGAACGGTCAAATGTTGTTATCTTGTCGATGCACGTTAGATTAAAATCATACATGCACCACTTTAACATAAAAACGAAGATCAATATATAAGAGTTTTGATAGTCCTTTTCTTACTAAATTTAGATCTTTTAAGATATATATGAATTTCCAATCTAAATTCCAACAAAGGAACCCAAATGGAACTTGTAGATTGACTTCTTTAATCATTTTATGATGAAGTTTCCTTATGATTTCATGTGAAAAGTAATCATATGCTTTCCCTATTGTCAATGTCTTTGATAAAAAAGAATGTATATTTGGGTTGATTAGCAAACCCTCCCAATGGCTTAATGAAGAAGTACAATTTTATTACGCAAAAACATTGATAGACAATTGGGACATGATGATATTCTTAATCGCATCATGAGCTTGTGCCTAGCCGCTAATGGACTTTAAATTCAAACTTCAAAGACTTGTCACTTATGTAAAGGTTGAATTTACCTAATCCTAGAGCAAATGACTGTGTGTGTGTGTGTATATATATGGAATTTCAGGTAATGCTGAAGGTAATTACCAAGAGCATTTCATGTTAATTGCAAGATATTTTTAGCATAATTTGAATAAGTTAACTAATTGACTTATTTCTAAATTTGGATAACGGAAAGTCATTTAATCTAAAATATACTTTCAAGTAAATTTTATTAAGCTTAGTCAAACATGCACCAAAACTCGTATAAGTTCAACCTTTTGTTGCGTAGATTTCTGAAAAGGTAATTGCAACATATAGTCAAGTTCGTGTATGAGGCAAAATTGTTCATTCGGACAATAACGTATATGAAATGAGTACTATCACACATTTGAACATAAATTCCCACCAAAATTGACTAATTGTTACAAAAATTCTACTCTGAAAAATTCTACTGAATCTTCATTTATTGAATTGCAGAGAAAAAATCAAAAGATTGAAAATGTCTGCATTTTGAACCGACCATTATTGAATTAAAGCCTCAATTTGTCTATTGCTATTTAAAAGTTCCTCCTTTTTTTTCTAATCGAACTCATTTTTAACCACATGTTCTCACAATAAAATATTCTGTACATAAATTCAAATTTTTTTCCTACTTTTTAAAAGTTAAATATTTCTTTTGTCATTGTACTTATCCCTCCATCAAATTTTATTTACTAAACTTCAAAATACTTTCGAGTAGTCACTAAACTTATACTTCCATAACGCTTTAATCAATGAATTTTGAAACTCTTTCAAGTGATCACTAAACTTTAACACATTACATTCCATCACTTACTCATTGTGTTTCATTAGTCATTAAATTTATACATTCGTCACGTTTTACTCACTGAACTTTAAAATGCTTTCGAGTGGTCAATTTTTTAATCACACATTCTTCAACTAACAGGAGCAAAATAAAGACTTGGGGATGGAAACTTGAACACAAATAATGGATGAAGGAAAGTCTTCGTTTAGGTAGGATGAAAGAAATCCTTTTTCAGTTACATTTCTTGGAATACATAATGCCTAAAAGATATTTTTTAATTATAGATCAACGAAAGGAGTCTCTTGCGGAGGTCAAACAATTAAGATAATCACATGTGAGAGAGAGAAGGGGATTTTATTACTAGCCCCCGTTTGGCCCCATTTTCTGAAAATAAAAATGAGTAGAATAGTATTTTTTTTTTTTTAATGAGTGATTGAAAAAGAAGGAAAAATTTTCGATTTATGTATAATATTATTTTATGAAAAATTGTGCAATTGAAAATAGAAGAGTGAAAAATGAAATGATTTGTAATGAAAATGAAATTTAATGAGCCAAACGACAACTTTCAATGAATGGGTTAAAGAAGAAAGAAAAATTTTGGGAAGTCACATGATATTCAACAGCCAATGGGACCAAAGTCATCTGTATCTATAATGCAAGAATTATTGCAGTATTATTACAGGGAACAAGTGGGGCATCAGTCTATCATTGAATTTTTATTTTTTTCTAAAATTAAGAAAGTACAACGTCGCATGAAAAGTCTTGGTAAAAATCTTAAATTCTGATGACTAAAATGACATTGGAATTTAATTCCATGGTTGAATGAAACTTAAACATCTCAACATCCGTAAACAAACAATACTATTCCTCTCTCTCTCTCTCTCTCTCTCTCTCTCTCTCTCGCTCGCTCGCTCTGTATTTCGTCCAACATCTTGATCCAAATTGGTAAATAGATTGCACAAATCTTGCTCAAGGTTTCTAGCTTGTTCGAAAATTTCGATACAAAAGTACTGATGTAATTCTGATGGAACGTGCAGGGACGGTAGCACAACGATCATCTGATGCAAGTATTGAAAACTCAAGACAGAATTGAATAAGAATCTTGAATCTTTCATGGTTTGTATCTAAGAACTTTGCTTTTGGTTCAGCTGTCTGTGTTATTAGTATTTTATACAAGCAGAAAACACGAAAAAAGTAATTCTTATTTGAAATTTGAGAGTCGATGATTATGATAATTAATTGAACAAGTACCTGATTTTTTATTTTTTCTTGCAAGGAAAGATTTTCATCTTCCTTGTCTGTGTCTCATATGGTTCAAAACCAACGACAATGATCTTTGTCCACAACCATATCTACTGGTTGTGGAATCAGTTTGTTGATCAGTTGTAGGCGTAAGCACATACTTGATTTCTAGTTAGGCGTCAAAATTATTCAAAAATTGATCATATCCTTTTAGGGTTTTGCTAATATTTCATCTCTTTCACGCTACACAGTCATATTTTCGTATTTTTGGAGAAAAAGATGAATCACAATAAAGTAGCTCAAGAGCTTAGAGTATTTAATAACTTGGTTTATTGGACATATCTAATCACATATTATTTCATTTGTACTGGTTTTGTGTATAAAATTCATCAAACCTTTTTGGTTGTGTCCCGTCAATTTCTTTGCTTCATGATTCCTCGCATATATAGCTGTTTGGCAAATATTAAAATTTCATACCTGCTAAATTTGTCCTGAGTTGTTAAAATTTGACAATGCGGAATTCTTCAATTCAAAACTACTTCCGAATATTAGGTGGATGATACAGTTAATTTTAGGAATTACCAATAAATGTATCTCAACAGATTTTGTGCACTCAGCACCTTTTCATATAATTAATCATCTTTAAATTTCACAGTTCAGTAGTTGAAAGAGTACTTGCATCAGTTGGGCATTTGCAACCAGAAAGGAAGCAAGTTCAACATTCTTGCCTACCCAGTTTCTGATCTAAATTTTACTCTTAATTGTAAACCCTAGTTTCTGAAAAGGTCTCATAAAAGATCCCCAGCCAGAAATTTCGTAGGTATTTTATAATCATAAAATGGGAGGGAGATGGAGTTAATTTGATAAGATTTATGCGGATATTTTCAGGAATCTCTATAGATGTTTGATAGTGAAAATTTTCTTTATTTGAGGGGACATAGATATGATTAACCAAACTTCAAGTATTGTGTTAGTTTCTTTCTTTCTTTCTTTCTGGCAGTTGACCTATTTTTTATCTGATTTGTGGGCATTCATATATAAAACCTCTCGAATGGCTTTTGGATGAGGTTGGTTTACATCTCGTTGTCACCAATTTATGAAATCGTGCAGCTCTTGAACATTTGATAGGAATTGAAGCAGGAATGCAGAATTAGCTTAGCTTTTAGATGAATTAATTGATTTAACAACTACAACAATTAATTGATTACATGAAACATCTTTACTTTGAAATAAATGCAGAAAAGAAAGCGTAGCATGGCCGAAGAATTGGAAGTTCGTAGTGATAGAAGGATCAGCAGAAATGAGGAAGAAGAAAACACATTATCAGATTATTCACAGAATATCTCATCTATTGACTTGAACGAAGAAGCCGGCAGCAATATGGATGGTGATGCCATGGAGGTTTCAGACATCAGCGTTCAATATGCTGAGCAAACAGAAAATAGTAACAAATCCGAGGAAGGAAATGGAAACAAGAGTGGAGTTCGTAGATATGTTCGGTCCAAAATGCCCAGGCTCAGGTGGACTCCGGAACTCCATCTCTCATTTGTTCGTGCTATTGAAAGACTAGGCGGGCAACAAAGTAAGTGAAACAACTACTTATTTTAAGAACTAACCAAAATTAAATTTCATAATTGAAAAATAAGCATTATCTGATATTTGCTAGGTGCCACTCCTAAAACTGTGCTTCAGATGATGAATGTGAGAGGACTTAGCATTTCTCATGTCAAAAGTCACTTACAGGTACAAACACTGCTTAAGTTCACTACATCTGTGACCTAATTAATTAAGTATGTTTTCTCCTTTTTTGATGGTTTTTCCTTGACATCAGATGTATCGATGCAAGAAACTGGATGATTCCGGCCAAGGTACGATATCAGAATTCAAATATATATTCTGTCAGATGTCGATATTACCCTTACCGGGCTTCATTTCATGTACCCGGGCGTTTACACGCCCCTCACATGGGGGGGCGAGACCCAAGCATTTATTGTGCGCGGCCCCACCCCCCACGTGAGGGGCAGGTAACTGGGCGCGTAAATGCCCGTTACACGCCGGGTACAAATAGGATTCTCCTTACCCTTAACAGTTCATTGATTACTATATTTTGCTTCCATTTGACAGTAATGAGTCAAGCCAAGCCAGGATATTGTAATATCCGATCAAGAGATTATTTTTGTACAAGTAATTTGTATGAAAAATCCAACCCTTTACAGAACTTGAGATTAGAAAATGGTGTCATAACCTTCGCGCAAAATTCTCCTAATCAAGGCCATCGCTTATCCTCATATGATCAGATCAAAGGAACACCATCTCCGAGGTAATTTACCATGTAAATTCATACGAGTTATTAATTTGACTATATCCCATTAAATTTAATTATTTCAGGATCCAGAATTCCTTAGTTCTAATGATTTATGGACATATATAGATATCAGCACTGGTCATCCAATAAAGAATATCCCAAAATCAGGCTAAATCCTCGTGTAAGTGTAGATGGCAATAATTTCTTCAGAAGTACAGCAAATATCCCACTCAAACCTAACCAATTTCTTGAAGAGAAAAGATGGCCTCCACGACAATTTATTAATGTGAATCAATGTAAGGACAAAAGGGTTCCTGTATCTAACACAACAGCTGGACAATACAAGTCAAGCATCATATCAGAAACATTTGGCCTCACTTTTAAAGATCCGTTTCATGTTAAGGTACGTTTCTCGAGAAATTATATCTTAATTCATTTGAATATTCTGTATCGAGTACTTTTAATTTTTAACATAGTTCTATTTCCAGATGAACAAGGAAAAGATGATGAAAGTTGAAGATTGGCCTGATTTGCAACTCGGTTTGAGCATTACTGCAAAATCTAACCACGAGAAGACTTGTAGTAAGGGTGATTCAGAAATTAATACAATGCTTTCTCTTTCTTTGTTCCCACATTCTTCAAGTGCAAACTAGCTATAGTATTATGCACCAAGTAAGTTCAATATTGTAGTCGATATATATCTATTATATATACACAAATATATAGAAACAGGTGGGAAGCTGAGTACTGGAGATCTGACCGTGAATGCATGCAGGAGAGCATATTAGTGAGATCTTCTTAGTACTTTGTCTTAGAAGACATTTTGATTGATTATTTTCATGCGACCAAGAATTAGGGTTTGGTTTTTTTTATGGAAATAAGGCAACTGTGGACTGCCTATATGGTTAACTTTGTGTATTTTCATAAAGTTTCGTTGCATTTTAATGTGTATCTAGTCTCTAACAGATGTTTTTCATTAATCCTTTCTTGTTATCTTGTTTATTTGTGGGATTTGTTAGCCAGGTGAATTTTTAATTCTTGTCACTAGATATAAAGAGAGAACTGAACTGAACAAAGCTGGCAACAGATGTAATTAATTTGACACATGATAAATATTAAATCTTATGTTCCAATAAAATTAGTTTTAATAGATTTGTAATCAGGCAAATATCATTTTTTTTTTTTTTTTTTTGGTTTATCTAATTTATCATCGAAGGTAAAAGGAGATATAAGATTATTTTCGTCAATTTATTTTATTTTTTTAATAATTTAAGGCTATATTAAATGGAAACATATAATTTTTTTAGAGCAACTAATGCAGTTAATATGAGTTCCTGTTCATCTGAGTTACATCGCATTCTTAATTACAAAACAAATTAAAATAAATTCCATATTTTTCATGTTATCGTGTGAGAAGAGGAAAATAAACTTTATTTATTTTTTCAATAGTTCACATACTGCAACAGGGAAAAAAGAAAGGGCTACCGGTATATACATAGAGAGGAAAAGTAGATGTTCTGAATAACTATTAGTTTTCATTTGGTTTTGCTAATTTTAGATTATCTGAAGCAGCAAACGACTGACTGGGTTAGATGAAGAAATGAGAAAAAGATAAGTGAAACCCTAATCGAGACACATTATAATATATGGTAATCTAATTAATTAAAGGACCTAACACTTATCTGATTTAAATTTAGAGTAATGCTATTCGTAGTAAAATCTACAGGTAATTGCATTACGTAGCATACACATGACAATTTATTATTTGATACATTAATATTGTAGTTTTTTATTGCCTCATATATCAAATAACAAATTAACAAGAGCATTTTACATGCTTATTCGTATTTTTCATTAAATAAATTATCTCTAATTGAGTGGATATCTACCTAATATAGTATAATTAAGTTAATTACAAGAAAGATTCGGACTTGGATGCAATTGGTGCAAAGCAATGTTATTTTGAGCCTAATGAGAGTTTATTTGGAGCAATTGAAGACTAATCAGATTGCAAATGGTTGATCAGAAGTATTAAGATAGCAATTAGAGAAAATTTACAAGTTTCGAATGTGAAATTCAACATTTGGAAAGTTTGAGTACTTACAAACTATTAGAATTTAAGACGGATGTGTTTAAGATGATTGTAGATGATGAGGATTAGATTGAAAAGAATTGAAAGATTAAGGATCCCATAATGTAAATAAGAATAGAGTCGAACTGAATCGAAAAGACATTCTGGGACCAAGTTGAAAAAGGAAAAAATTGGTCACATATTGCGGTTGAAAGGTCTAACCTGTGTTACCGCAAAAGGAGAATTCCTTTTTAACAAGTTTAAAGACCTAACCATGCAATCATATAACTAGTGATGGCAAAAAAATTAGCCTCGAATGGGGCAAAAAATCGGTCCCAAACTGGTTGACGGGGCGGGGCAAGGTGGGGAGCCCCGTCACGGGGCATGGGGCGGGGTGGGGCGAGGATGCCCCATCCCTTGAAGGGAAAAAAAAAAGATTAAAAAATAATTTTATTTTTAGACAATCACCCGTTAAAAATTTATTTTGAATTTGTATTTTATTTTCTGATAATAACATAATTCGAAATTTTAAAAATGTAAAAAATATAAATATAAATATAAAAAAATTAAATAGGGCAAAAAGTTGCCCCGTCCCACGTGTCCCGCGCCCCGCCTTGCCCTGTCTAGGCGGGGCGGGTTGACTTTCTATTATAGAAAAGATTTTTTTTCCTAATTTAAGTTAACTTCTATGTGGAGTGAGATTAGTGCACAAGCTTTAACCTAATTCTTGAAGCTATAAATAAAAAATTTCATCTGTCATTCAAGGAGGAGAAGGGTTCCAAAATATAAAATTATAAAGGAAAAAGATAGAGAATAAAAGGGAGAACGTGAATAAAGATAAGGTTTCAAGATTTTTCAAGGAAGAATGTAAATTTTGTGGTGCAAGATTTTCATCTTTTTCTCGTTCTTCTTTTAAACCTAATGCAAAATAGGGACAAGCACCCATATGATCCCATTGACTTCTTTTAAGAATGTACACCAAATCTTTCTTATATTTTTCTTCTCCCGTGATCTATAATTAAATCCATAGATCATAGTTGAGAAAAAATTGCACCTTAGTTTTGCAAATTAATTTTAATTATTATGTTTCAATTTAGAATCCCTGTGCTATGGCTCATACTTGGTTTTTTGTTCCTGTTCAGTTGATATTTGTGGATTGTTATTACTTCTTTTCATTCATGCTTTGAATTACTTGATTACTAATTCATTGATTTGTTAACAGTTAGAAGAAGATATGTGAGATATTGTGTTAGACTATGTGGTAAAAATCAAAATATGGATAGAAGGTCGAGATACGCTTGTTTTAATTTTACGGTCAATAATTGAATTTTTTGGTGATTGGATGCTCTTGATTAAAGTTTATCATGATTCACATAGTGATATAGTGAATTTAATTAATTGAGTCAGACTGATTTGAACTCGAAAAAAGTAAATCAATAAATTTAGAAAAAAATAATCTAGGTGAATAATGGTTGATTATTGTCAATATTAGGTGATTGAAATGAAGTTGATAGCTGTGGTGAACTCATGAAACCAATTAACAATCATATAATCCCCAAATTGTCCACTTGTACGCTTCTAAATTTACAATTTCTAGGATAAAAATCATAATCAAGTTTAATTGTTTTCAATCTAATTGAAGTTAGGAATAATAAAATCAATGGTTAAATAGTATTCCTCGTCAAAACAATAACCCAAATTCTCAAGTTCTCTTTAATACTCTAAACGATATTGTACATTTTGTTGGAATATAGTGGTGTTAATAAAATCGGATTATCGCATATCGTATATGTAGTTTAGATACCGATTTTAAGCATACCGTATATGCAGCTTACCGTATTTGCAGAAAGCTTACCGTATATGCAGCTTATCGTATATACATTTGACCGTATTTGCACATATTTTATTTACCTTTTTCACATATGGTATTTTCGCTTACACCTAAAAATACCATATATGTAACATACATATACCAAATTGTATTTACCAACTGTTAGCAAGAAAATTCAAATATATATATTTTTTTTCTATTTTTATTTCTAACATAAATATAAAATAAGTAAACTACAAAATATATAAATCTAGTAAATTGCAAACGTGTAAAACGTTAAATAAATAAATAACCGTAAGAATAAATTGCAAATATGTAAATTGCAGTAGATAAATAAATTTTCAACCCGAAACTTGTGTGAGCACAGTTTCCTTAAAACAGATTTGCTCCCTCACCGTAAGTGCTGGAGATTTAATCCGAGCGTATATTTCCCAGGATACAACAGTGACAGTAGAATTTGAGCACTGTAGAAACTACTTCGGCGAACTGAGTTTGTATTGAACAATATCACCACCAAGACGATGCTGAAAATGCAACAGATTATGTACTGCATACAACACTAATTTGACAGAATATTTTCGTGTGCATGCAGTATTCTCGTGGTTAGAATTGTAGGAAAAATGAGACTTAATATAAGATTAAATCCGCCTATTAACTCCATAGCAAAAAATACTAGAGTTGCTTCAATGTGTGAGAGTTTTGCCAGTTTTCGAAAACTCAAAGGTCAGTTGAAGAAAGTAAAAATTGCAAAACGTGGACACTCCAAACGGGCCAATTTTTGCACTGTTCGGTCCGACATTCGTGTACGCAGGTCGCGCCTGCACATCAATTCAAAGTCCAAAAGGCAATTTCGATCCGCGATTTGCACCCCCTGCGTGCGCACATGGAGAAAGCCACTTTGCTACACATGATTACACCTTTCCAAAGTGTAATCCTATATAAAGTTGTTCATATTTTCTTCATTTTTCTATGTAGGACTAGTTTTATTTCTCATATAAATCATCTTTCAATGGTCATCTTTGAGTTACAATTTATCATTCATCCATTCATCAATTTTGGCAAATAAATATTTGGTTTCGTGCTTTCACGAGGAGAACAAGGATCAACTTCAATCTTCCAAATTTGACCAATGGTTCCCACACAAATTTTATGCCAAAATCAACCACTAGCCCATTTTTTCCAACACATTTATGATAGGAAAATCACACTACAAATTTTTAACGCCATTGTCAAGGATTAAGATATTTATCTTAAATTATATTAGTTCTTGATTAAATTCGAAGTTTTATATTCTTTTTCTTTTTTAGTCAATCTACTTGTTTCTCTTGATTTTATTATCAGTTAGGAACGAAAAGAAGCAAAGTACCTGCAACAGTATGATATAAGAGAACCTGATATTGATGACCATGATGTGCATATGAGAAACATATTCGTCATGCAATGATTTAACATGACAGGATATGATGCCTTTGTCGAAATTGATAAAGTTAAACTTGCTAGTGAGATTGTTTATCCCAATGGTCGTTAAAAATCAAGACTTGCCCCTGGAAGAACTATGTGAATCACCACAATTGGGCTTTTATGTAATGGGTGTGAACACGGTCTAAATTAGTCCGACTTGTAAAAACTATGTGGCCTTGCATTATACTGAAAATCGTATGTTATTAGCCACTCCAGTTGAATCGGAGAAATTGCTCGACAAGTTTCCCCATGTGAAAAATAATGAAAATATTATGTTTGTGGGGAATTTCTTCACTTTGCAAACTATTTACAAGGATGGGAGGCCCAAATAAGTTTAGATGATTTTTGCTCGCAAACCAAACCATATTCGCAACCATATAATCTGGGATGGAAGCAACACCAAAATTTTGGTTGGTCGAAAAATCATATAGGGGTAATTTCACTCATTTTCAACAAGAAATGGAGACTTTCTCTGAAAACTTCCTTGTTCAATTGCACGACTTTGGATAATAGACCAATCATTCAAATAAGGGATATAACAAATAAAGAAAAAATAGCATGTAGAGAATGAAGAATTAATCATAACAAAGCCAAATGAATTAGTGGCATTGATTGAA